TCTGGCTCATACCTTTCAGAGGGAAGGGAGATAATACAATGGGTTTGTTTGAAAGGCCTGCCCCATGGGGCTGTAAACTTCATGTGTAATAAAACCAAAAACTAAACCCACTGCCATCGAGTCAATTCTGATTTATAGCGACCCTTTAGGACAGAGTAGAACTTCCCTATAGGGTTTCCAAGCTATAAACCTGTACAGGAGCAGATTGCCTCAGCTTTTTCATGGAGCAGCTGGTGAGTTTGAACCACCGACCTTTTGGTTAGCAGCCCGATGCTTTAACTGCTACCCCACAAGAGCTCCTTTCATGTGTGACAAGGATAAACAGATAGAAGGTATGATGTCAATAAGGGACTATCTTAACAGAGTGGCACTATACATAAGAACCTAAAACTGAGAAGTATGTGTGCTTGTCAAAAGCCTCCACAGTCGGAAAATGCATTCAACGATCACTGAAAACCGTGTAAGCTATGTGGCCAATGATTCCCCCCTCCAAAGGAGGAGACAGCAATGAAAATCCTCGTAATGGTGTAACATTACGACCCCGTGCTCTGTGGTTAGTTTTCTGCCTAGAATCTTTCTGTGTGAACTGCAGACAGAATCACCCAGCCTCTGCCCCTGGACCAGAGCACGACGGGTGTGGGATGAAGGGTGGTGACTGCCGTGGCTGGGAAGAGGCTGGCGATTTGGGTGTAAAGACTCGGGGTTGTGTGTGGAGAAGGGGGGGTGGGATCCAGAGTCTGAAGCTCCAGAAGCCAGGGAAGGTTCTAAACACGTCTGGAGGGGAAGTGGAGCTCCGGAAGTGGAGTCTACACAAAGTGTCTGTCAGAGTTGGAGGCAAAATGGAGCAAGTGAGTTTCAGAGTGGTGCCTGGAGAAGCCACCTGCTACCAGGCTTGATGGACTTTAGAGAGCATCTGAGGGGAGCCCCATATGGTAAAAGAGAGACTTTAAGACATGAAGCTGCTCACTCCTTCCCCGACCATGAAGACAAAGGTTATGCTTTTCTTGGGCTTTCTTATGGAAATCTTTTACTCTAAGGACAAGTCAAGGATGGGAATAAGTCCCCACAAGGTCCTCTTTAACTCATCTCCCTTCTAAGCAGATGCTGGGCCTGGTGCCATCAGGAGTCCAAAGCCTCTTCAACGATCACTCTTGTTTGGTTCCAGGATATCTCTTGGCTGCTGGGGCACAGGGTATAGAGAGGGTTTGCAGAGTCTCACAGGCCACTGAACAGTTTAAGTCGGAGTGAATTTACCTGGAAGGAAGTCACTGGAATTGACTTCATTATGAACCTGGGATGACTACCTGGTCACTCCACATCTCCCTCCTCTCCACACTGCTTTCAAATACTGGGCCTAGGAAAATCTAACAAATTCTATGACAACTGATAAAAAGGAGAAGGCATGGTTCTAGCACAAAGAGAACAGTTATGGATTGAATTGTGTCTCCCCAATATATGTGTTGTAAATGTTAACTCCCACACTTGTGGTAGGCATTTGACTGCTAATCGGAAGGCTGGTGGTTCAAACCCACCAGCCACTCCTCAGAAGGAAGGTTGGGCAATCTACTTCCATAGAGATACTGCCTCGGAAACCCAAGGAGGGGTCCCTATGAGTCAGAGCCAACTCAATGGCAGTGAGTTTGGTTTTTGGTTTTGGTTCATACATGCTGTTAAGAACCGCTGATGGCACAGTGCCTAAGGGATTTCATTGCTAACCAAAAGGTTGGTGGTTCAAACCCACCAGCCACTCTATGGAAGGAAGATGATGTAATCTATTTCCATAAAGATTTACTGCCTTGCAAACCCAGTGGGGGTTGTGTTATAACTCTGTGTGGGAATGGCTTGTCTTTGTTATTTTAATAAGGCAGTATTATGTTGGATATGTTTTAGGTCAATGTCATTTGAGATATAAAAGAGCAAGGAAAGTAAATAAGGAAGCAAGCTCAAGTCAAGACCAGAGAAGAGATGCCACACCATGTGAACATCACAAGGAACCAAGGAAGAAGTTGAAAAGAGACTGGGACTTTCTCTCAGAGCTGACAGAATGAGGAAGGCTTCCCCTTGAGGCGGCACCCTGCGTTTGGCCTTCTCGCCTTCTGAACTGTGAGAAGGTAAAGTTCTGTTTGTGAAGGCTGCCTGCGTGAGGTATTTCTGTTGTAGCAGCATTAGAGAACTAAGACGTGAATATAACAACAACGAAAAAAAAAAAGTAAGAAAAAGAGCAAAATGCCCGAAGAATGAATAATACTCAACAGAAAAGTATTTCATGGGACAGAAAAAATACTTGGGAAGTACAAGAAATGTGATGAAGCATTAACCTCTACAGGACAAGATCACAGAACAGAGATGCAGGGACCAAGGGACGAGACAGCGAGATGAGAGGGAAATCAGAGGGCGAGGAAGGAATGAGAAATAACCTACTAGATTTTAGTTTACTCTTAATGGCTCAATACCAACAAAGTAACAGGAAAAAAAGGTCAGTGAATGGAAGATCTAAATAAGGTTAAAAAAAAGATAGTTGCCATCGCACTGATTCTGACTCATGGCGACTCCATGTGCCTCAGAACAGAACTGCACTCCACAGCATTCCAGTGGCTGTAATCTTACACAACTAGGTTGCCTAAACTTTCTTTTGTAGCACTGCTGGGTGGATTTGAGCCACCAACCTTTCAGTTAGTAGCTGAGCACTTAATGTTTGTGCCGTCCAGGGACCAAGCTAGATATCAGTTGTTGTTGTTGTCGTTATGTGCCGTCAAGTCGGACCCAACTCATAGCGACCCCTCCTTGGGTTTCCGAGGCAGTATCACTACGGAAGTAGATTGCCCCATCTTCCTTCCGAGGAGTGGCTGGTGGGTTTGAACCGCCAGCCTTCTGGTTAGCAGTCAAGTACCTTAGCCACTATGCTACCAGAGCTCCCTAGATATCAGTAGTATATGTTAAATTTTATAATCTGAAAAAAAGAGAGTCCATTTCCCTGCCCTTCAAATATCGGGATTTTTGGAATTCATGTCCGTGTAGATTTGTTCCTTTGGCCACCTCATCCAGTTTCATGGCCGCAAACAGAGTTTATGCACTGACAACTCTCAAGTGTGAATGTCCAGCCAGAACTTCTTCCCTCAACTTCTGACTTATAGATCCATCTGCCTGCTTGACATCTACACTCGGATGTTTAACAGGCATCTCAAGCTGAACAGGTCAAAAACCTGAACTTCTGGTATCCCACACCTGCCAGCTTGCCCTACCCACAGTCCTTGCCATATTAGCGAAGAGAGCTCCATTGCAGTTTGGGCCACGTCTCACTCCAGTTCGTCAGCCAGCCTTGTCAGCTCTACCTTCAGAAAATATCCTGAATCCAACCACTTCCTGCCACCTGCCATCCTAATCCTAGCCACCAGCACTGCTTCCCTCCTAACTTGCCTCTGCTTCTGCCTAGGACACTTATGACTTGTAATCTCACAGCATCCCAAGGTGTCCTGTTATACACAAGACTGATCATGTCACTCTCCTGCTCAAGCCTTTAAGGGCCGTTCTTTGCTTTGAACTAAAGTTCAGAGTCTTCTGATGACCTATTGTTGTCCTCTTGCTAGCTCAACCCCTCCTTCCGCTACTCTCCCTCTCACCCCATGTTCCAGCCTCACTGGATCATACCAGGAACAGTGTCCCTGCCGTAGGTCCTTGGCATGTACAGCCCCTTGCTCTTCCCCAGTTGTCCACATGGCACACTCCCTTGCTTCCTTCAGGTCTTTCCTCAAACATGGAACTCGCTCTTATATAAGCATTAGGATGCGCTGACTTTCAGGAGCCATAGATGGTAGAGGTTGAAAACAGACTGATTTTGTTAGTTGTCAGTTGCTGTCACATTGGCTCTGACTCATGGAGACCTTATGGCTGAAATGTTGCCTAGTCTCGTGCCAGCTTTATGATCACTGGTATATTTGAGCCCATTGTATATTTGAGCCCATTGTTGTGGAGATTGGGTCAATCCCACTCTTGAGGGTTTCTTCATTTTTGAGGGAAAAGACTGATTTAGGGAACATGCAGTAACAATGATAACTGATTAGTGCCTTACACTTTACCAAGCTCTTCAACTTATATATTTTTAAATTATGAAGACAACACTGTGAGTACATATTATCTTCCATACTATACAGATTGGGAAACTAAAGCTCAAGTAAGCTGCCTTGTCCAAGATCACATCCAGTAACTTGTAGAACCAGGAGATATGATCTGGGAACTACTTACTTCTATCTTGTAGACCCAGAGCTAGTAGTCTTTCTCCTCTCCATTGAAATTTATTATATAATGATGAAAATAATATTAATGATGATAACGATAACAGAAACAGTAGCAGCTAACATTTACCAAGCACTCTTTCCATGCAAAGTACTGTTTTAGGCATTTTAAATATAAGAACTCATTCAATCTTCACACAACCTAACAAGAGGCACTATTATTATCTGCATTTTACAGAGGAGGAAACTGAGTCAGCAAAAGATTAAGTAACCTGTCCAAGGTCAACAACCATCAGTAATGGCAGAGCCAGGACTTATACCCAGGCACTTGGGCTCCAGATCCTGAGTTCTCAGCCACCACCCTAAAGCCCTGCTTGGTAGTAGACATTTCCTGTCTGCTTTTGCTAGACAGGCTACCTACAGTTTATAGTTGGACACAAGTGAATTCTCTAGTTGGGTAATTAGAGTTCAACTGTGTCTCTGAAAGATTTCTTGAAGTTACATGTAGTTTAAGAAATACCATCTTGAAATTTAGGTTAAGTTTGAAAATTTTCAACTTAATCAATAATTGTCAGAAGTTGAAAGGCAGTCAAGTGGTTTGTGGTTCCTGAAATAGCCGATGAACGTCTTTTCTAAGGTAGATGTTTTATCTCTAAGCAAGAGGTCTAGTACTGCAGATTAGCCGGCGAGGGCCCAAGAGCTTCTGTTTCAGCAGAAGCCTTCATTTCTCAGAGTCTCAGGGTGGGGAGAGGAAAAAGCTCTCCTTACCTGGGGTGATTGTAGGCTATCTGTCTGAACTCGTTGTTCCAGTTGGGTCTTCCATAGAATGTTTTTTGCTTTAAGCCTGTAATCACATCAGTATTTTCGTCCCAATGTAATGCTATGTGAATAGCCTAAAGTAAAAATTGTAGAATTAGATGACATTTTGGGAAAAAATGAGCACCTACTACTCAATAAAGGATGAAGTAATTATACTCATTTGTAGGTTGGTCTAATGCAAAGATGTTTTTAAGAGGCTGGAAAAGCTTATTGTCATCGTCAGATATCACAGATTCTGCATTTTAAGGCATAGATCATATCTTATGTATCTTTGTATCCTGCCTTGGGCCCTATTGGTGTAAAGTATCTTACACAGCCTAGGGAAAAAAAAAAAAAAAATATATATATATATATATATATATATATATATAAACAATGCACATAATACAGTAAATATGGTTAAGGAAAATCAAGTACTAAATGACTTCCTTTATTTTTTGCCAAACTTCTCCAAATTAATCTCCACTTGCTGTCTCTACTCACTTAAGATTAAATCTTGGGGATTCGAGAAGGGCATTGCCAGATTAAAGAGAGAAGCTGAATCTCCCCATCTGACTTGGCTACGGGATTGCAGTGGTACAGTGTCTTGTCTGGTTGCAGCGTTGGGAGGACGTTTCATCTGACAGACCAAACATGGGGCTTAGAGCGCAGCAAGAGATGTGGCTGGAGCTTTGTTCTCTGAATTCAGCAAATGCACCCAGGCATCACATCACCAGTGGGTAGTAAGTAACAGCCTTAGCACACCAAACCCTAATGATATTTTTTAAGTTCTGTCATCTGTTCCAGCCCCTGTTAGACTCACATCCACCTGGCTTCTTACCTTCCTGTGCCCTGAGCTGATCCCTAGATCCGGCAACCGCTCTTGAGCTCGTGGGTTTTACACCTTGGTGCTCAGTGTTCTCTCAGCCTGACTCCTTTTGCTCTTTACTGGTTTGTTTGACAACTCTGCTTGATCAAACTGCTGTTCCAGTTCCTGCTGCAAGTTTGGCCTACATAACTAGCCTTTTCTCCAGTCTAGGAAAGCAGCCAGGGTCAGGGAGGCTCTGCAGAAAGGAATGGGGGTGCCCTTGTAGCCCAGTACCCCACGGAAGACTGGAATCGCAAAAATCCAGGCCACATGGAAGTTGCCCTCAGGCAACCCTGAGTCTAGATAGCAGGGCTACTGTTGGTGAGCAAAAGGAGGAGGGCACGGTCCTCCTCTTCAGCCAGGTGATGAGGAGAGAGACGGAAGCACAAGTAAGAGACCCAGGTTCAGGAATAAGAACTGAGGTGGGAGGTGAGACTGAGGCTTGGAAATTGACAGAAACTATGTATCAGGACCGGAACTTGCAGTCAGAGTTGTGGCAGCCTGCATATTAGACTGGCAGTGTTGCATCCAAGCATCCTTTGCTCAATATAAGGATGGATTGATGCTGTTTTCAGCCATGGGGAGAGGAAGAATGCACAGACAAGGGCACTAGTCAACTCACTTTGGACTAATTACCAAATCTAATGGCCCTCTCAGGCCCCATTCTCCTTGGCTTCTCTATCAGATGCTCAACATTGCTTCTTGATTCTATTTGTGTTATAAAATCCTGCTGCTTCTATTTGTTGTTGTTGTTGTTATGTGCCGTTGAGTCGGCCCCGACTCATAGCGACCCCTCTTTGGGTTTCCGAGGCAGTATCACTACGGAAGTAGGATTGCCCAACCTTCCTTCCGAGGAGTGGCTGGTGGGTTTGAACTGCCAGCCTTCTGGTTAGCAGTCAAGTGCTTTAGCCACTATGCTACCAGAGCTCCCTCTAGTTATTTCTGAAATTTCTTTATTTTTTTGAACATTTTATTGTGCTTTTTTTAGGTGAAACTTTACACAGTAAATTAGTTTTCCATTCAATGATTCATACGTGAATTGTTCTGTAACATTGATTGCAATCTCGACAATGTGTCAGCATTCTCTGTGTTTCTACCCTGGCTTCTCTGTTTCCATTTTTTTTGGTTTCTCTGCCCTTTCTTGACTTCTCATCTTTGTTTTTGGACAAATGTTGCCCTTCTCATCTTGTACAGTTGATTTTCTGAGCACATTCCTCATGGGTGTTATTGTTTATTTTATAGACCAGTCTATCTATTGATTGAGAGGTGGCCTCCAGAAGTGGCTTCAGTTCCATGTTAGAAGGGTGACTTTGGGCAACAGTCTTGGGGGTTCTACCAGTCTCTATCAGAGGCGGTATATCTATGGTAGATTGCCCAGTCTATCAGACCACTAAGTCTGGTCTTTTTTATGATTTTTTTTTTTTTTTAACGAATTTGAGTTTTCTTCTCTATTTTCTCCCATTTTGACTGAGACCTTCTACTGTATCTCTGTTAAGGACAGTCAGTAGTGGTAGCCAGACACCATCCAGTCCTTCTGATCTCAGCCTACAGGAGGCTGTGGTTCACATAAGCTGTTAGTCTTTTGGACTGTTTCCTTGAATCTTTTGTTTCCTTCCCTCTCCTTTGCTTCAGGTGGGAAGAGACCAAAAGTTGTATCTTAGATGGCTGCTTGCAAGCTTTTAAAACCCCAGATACTACTCATCAAACTAGGTTGTGAAACACTGTCTTTATGTACTACATTATGCCAATTGATCTAGATGTTTCCTGAGTCTATAATCCTTAGCCTTCAAGCCAGTAGGTCAGTCCCATGTGGTGTTTGATTATGTCTAAGAAGTTTCCATAGCTGTGTCCCTATGTGCTCTATTATATATGAATTTTGTATGTTGATCTTGTACCCCACCACTTTGCTGAAGCCTTCTATTAATTCCAGTAACTTTCTTGTGGAATCTCTGGCATTTTCTATGTATAGGATCATGTCTTTTCAAATAAGGATAGTTTTACTTCTTCCTTACCAATTTGGGTGCCCTTTGTTTCCCCATCTTGCCCTACGGTTCTAGCTAGGACTTCCAGAACAATATTGAATAGACGTATAGATAAAGGGCATCCTTGTCTCATTCCCATTTTTAAGGGAAATGCTTTCAGTCTCTCTCCATTGAAAGTAATGTTGCCTGTTGGTTTTGTATACAGCCCCTTAATTGTGGTGAGGAACTTCCTTCTATTCCCATTGTGCTGAGAGTTTTTATTAGGAAAAGGTGTTGGGTTTTATCAAATGCCTTTTCTGCATTGTTTGATATAATCATGTGGGTTTTTCCTTTGTTTTATTTACATGGTGAATTATGTTGATTGATTTTCTAATATTGAACCATCTTTGCATACTGGTATGACTCATTTGGTCATGATATATAATTATTATTATTATTATTATTTGATATAGTGTTGGAATCTATTGGCTAAGATTTTGTTGAGAATTTTTGCATCTATATTCATGAGGAATATTGGTCTATAACTTTCTTTTATAGTGGTATCTTTGCCTGACTTTGGTGTCAGGGTTCATAGAAAGAACTCTGACTTTATAGAATGAATTAGGGTGTACTCCTTCCTTTGTTACGTTCTGGTGTTGTTTGAGTAGAATTGGGGTCAATTCTTCTCGGAATGTTAGTAGGATTATTCAGTGAAGCTGTCTGGAAAAAACAAACAAACAAACTCACTGCTAATGAGTCGGATCCAACTCATGGCGACCCCTCCTTGGGTTTCGAGACAATATCTCTATGGAAGTAAATTGTCTAAACTTCCTTCTGAGGAGTAGCTGGTGGGTTTGAACCGCCAGCCATCTCGTTAGCAGTCAAATGCCTTAGGCGTTATGCCTCCAGAAGCTGTCTGGGCTGGGGCTTTTTATGTTGGGAGGTTTTTTTTCTTTTTTTTAAATGATCTTTTACATCTCTTTTCCTGTTATATATCTGTTCAAATGTTCAACTTTGGTCTGTGCTGGTTTAGGTAGGTAGTGTTTTTCTAGAAATTCGTCCATTTATTTTAGGTTTTCAAGTTTGTTGGAGTACAGTTTTTCATAATATTCTGTTATTATCCTTTTTATCTCAATTGGTTCTGTTGTAATGCCACCCATCATTTCCTATTTTGGTTATTTGCATTTTTTCATTCTTTTCCTTTGTCAATTTGATTTGTCATTTTATTGGGAATGCTGGTGGTATAGTACATAAGACCTAACCAAATTTGACTGCTAACCAGAAGGCTGGCAGTTCAAACCCACCAGCCACTCCTCAGAAGGAAGACTGGGCAATCTACTTCTGTAAAGATTTACCGCCTCGGAAACCCAAGAAGGGGTTGCTATGAGTTGAATCGACTCAGTGGCAATGAGTTTGGGTTTTGGTTCTCAAAGAAGCAATTTCTAGTCTTATTGATACTTTCTGTTCTTTTCCAGTTTCATTGACTTTAGCTCTAATATTTATTTCCTTTCTTCTGGTGACTGTGGCTTTTTTTTGCTACTCTCTAATACTTTTGATTGAAGGAGGAAACAGATTTTTTTTTTTTTTCCCTATCACATCTTCCTGTCTCAAAATACAGCTGTTTTCCAAGCTTCTAGTCTCGATTCACTCATTTGGCCTCTACTCCTCAAAGACCTTCTGTTTTCATGGCACCAATTAGCATAAGCTGAAAAGGTGAATCCAAACATTCTTTTTCTTCCAAGCTCTCATCTTCCTGTTTGAGTATAATCATGCACCATGAACACCCCATGACATATTTAGTGTAGAAATCTTACTGTTATGTCAAATTGATTATCATAACTAAAATTGAATCATCTTAGTTCTCAAATTAGTCATGACTTCAGTTTATTTCCAGGAACAATTCTTGAGTGACTACTGTAAGCAGGCAGTGTACTATGAACTAAGTGGTACAAAAAAGAAACAAATGATATCTCTCCTTGGTGACAAAGTGGTAATCTAATGGAGGGGAAAGCCATGTGTACAACCACAATCCTATGAATGAGATCATGATCCTTCTGTAGTTGAAAAAGAAAGTAAACACAAGGAAGTATAGAAGTGCATGGTGTGATGGGAGGACATAGTTTAGAACATGGTGGCTGGTAGGGTAGAACAAGTGAGTTGGGAAAGGTTGGGAAGGGTTTACATTTCTTGCTAAGATGTTTGGCCATTTATTTAGTAGAAAAAGGGCCTTCCCTACTTATGCGAGTGGTATTTTTGATCTACCGATCACAAATGCTCAAACGTTTGGAATTATATTTGTTCCATATTTCTCAGTCCAATGTTCAATTACTCTGTAAAGCCTGTTGATTTGCCCTCCACACTACCTCTTCCATCTGTTCCTTCTGTTCTTGTCATTCTGCCACTTTGAGATTGTCAAATTCAGATGAACAATTGGCTATTTCTATAACAGTCTTTGATTCCTTACTGACAGAATGCACCAATTATTCTTTTCCTTAAATGCTTAGATGGGTGATATCCTGTCTGAAATTTGGGAGTTTAAAGTATTTCCAATATGTCATGGCAAAATTTTAAGACCACATTTATTTCAATTGACTTGTAGTCAGGAAATAAAAGCATATTTTGTAGTGTGATTTTGAAAAGGCAGAGGTAGGATGGGGTTGTGTGGTGTAGTGAATTAGTTGGTATATCTCGTCTAGCCATTGTCTTTATGATTTCCACCAGAGGACTGGGCGGGACTATGCAAATGTGAGGTGCTTTTGGCCAATCTAAGGGATTGGATAATTTGTTAATCATGTAAATAAAGGACATGGTATTCTTGTGGAGGTGGGATTGTGCAAATAAGGTGTATGGAACCCTACCATGGGGATTGGTCAGCTTTGCCATTCTTTAGGCTTAAAATGAGCCATTGTGGAGGCAGAAAAGGAGGCTCTCACTGCCATCAAGAAAAACCAGGAGTGGAACACTCCTGCACCAGACCTCATTGGCAGAAAGACAGCAGAGAGAGGGGCGGGAGCAGAGGCAGTAGAACCAAGAGATTGCATGAGAGATAGTGGGCTTGCTGGCCCATAGAGCAAGAAAACTGAGAGCCTTTGGTCAAGAGGCTTGCGAGTGGAGTGGGTTGCATCTATAGGCAGAACTAGAAGAACTCTGTAACTCTTGCCTGAGCAGGGCAGAGGCCAGGCTGAGAGGCCAAGGGCCAAAGAGAGATGTGCTAGCGGGCATTGCTGATTTTTCTGATAGAAAAATTGTATCCTGAACATTCCTGAACCTGAACTGTAGCCTATTACTTCCCTAATAAACTCCTGATCTTGAGTATTATCTGTGAGTTCTGCGTGGCCATTGCAATGAGTTATCAAACCCCATGAGAAGAATGCTGTGGGAAGGCCAGTTGGTGTCAGTATAGGTAGAAAGCATGGAGGGTAGAGGCATGTCTGACCTCTGCCTCATAGGAATCAGTCTTGGGCTGATGCTTCTGTCCCTTGTGAAGTTAGAGGAGGTCAGACAATGCAGCCAACATGCCCTTCTTGCAGGTAGGTTTATGTTGTCACAAAATTAAACCAAGCCCATCTCACAACTCCCAAAGGACTAGGAATGGCTGCATAGACACAGGATCAATTCACTTTAGAAGCAGAAGAACAAACATGGCACCAGCAAGCAAAAGACAAGGGCTATGTCTGTCCTTCACCAAATAGATCATTAGTCAAAAATTGCATTTGAGTAAAGAAAATGTTTGTTTGGAAAACATAATTAACACTATTAAATTCATTAAGATGTTTCAAGCCTACTTCCCAAGAAACCTATATTTCAAATTATCCCAGAGGAATAACATATTTAAGGAAGACTGCAAATAAGACCATAAAAATTTGTTTAGCTACAGAGTTTCAAGTCTTATTCATTTGCAGAAACACAGATTCAAATTACAGTGATGTTTTATAGGGTCAGTGAGAAAGGGGGGTGGAGAGGGAGGGAGGGAGGGAGAGAGGAAGGGAGACAGAGAGAGAAGAGAGAGAGAGAAACCAAGTCCAAGCCTGAGTGTGAGTATTCATTTGCAAATTTAATGATCAATGCCAATCTCCTTAACAGACCACACTTATCTCCTAAGTATCAATAGTAGCTGCTGCCGAGTGCTGATTAGAATATTCATCCCACAGCACAGAGGTCACTTCATTGCTAACTCTCATGCTTGAGGAGTTAAAAAAGGAGTAAAATATAATACTCATCAATCACTATTATCAACACTGAAATACATGGTGCTCTGTTTTGGTCTATGTTATTTTTGGTAAACTAAACCTTTAGTAGGAGCTCTGGTAGCATAGTGCCTAAGGCACTTGACTGCTCACCAGAAGGCTGGCGGTTCAAACCCACCAGCCACTCCTCGGAAGGAAGGTTGGGCATTCCTACTTCTGTAGTGATACTGCCTCAGAAACCCAAGGAGGGATCGCCATGAGTCGGGGCCGACTCGATGGGAAACAACAACAACAAACCTTTAGTATTTGATGAATACAGTGCACTGCAGAACACCTGCCATGACATAAGATCACCTTGATCTTAGGTAAATAAAAATGCATGGACACAATTTAGAGGGCCTCTTTTATAAAGAAAAAAAGATTTAAAGATCCGTATCTAAACCATGTATCCATGATCATTATTTTCTGTGGAAACTCACATCCTTTACAATACTCAATTTTGAATATAAACACTGAGGAACTTTTTCTATTTAACTCTGAACAGCTCCTAGCAGAGGACTGGAATCAGGAGTTCAGCAAGATGATACAGCCAATCAATAATGTTTGCTTGATGCTGCTCTTAAAATGACAAATGCAACTTTGGATATAACTTATCTTGGATTTCCAAATTTGGGATCATCGTCCATTAAGCAGACTCTTTATCTTCTATTCCTTGGCAAGTTAACTGGAGGTTCTTTTATTGCTACGATTTGAATAGCTCTTTCTAATCTGGTTTTATTATATCCTCCTTTCCTTTTTAAGAACATATAATAATTCTTTCACACGACTAAATAACTATATAGCTCATTATTGAAATGATTCCTTTTCTCTTTGCTCTATTATTAGATGAGTTAGGTAACATGGCTCCTTCTCAGAGTCTTATCAATACCTGATTTTCATCCCAGCCAGTAAGAAATATACGATAATTCAGGAAGTGAGCTTTCCCACTCTCACTCATTTGTGTTTCCAGCAAGAGTAAGAGATCAGCAAACCACTCAAAAGCCCTTGCGTCCCGGCAAATCCAGTAAAAGTACACCTGTCAAGAGAGAAGGTGAGACAACCGATCACTCCCTCTTTTCATAATGTGCTGATAATCACAGACTAGTTTATCTCCATTTAAATTGTTGGAGCCCAAACGGGCACTTCTGCAAAATAACATGCTTCTCTCTGCCAGGGAACAAACAGTCACACTGTGATTTCTTTTGGAAAAAAAATTCATGTTGTGTTTGAAAGAGCCCAGAGTGAATTCAGCGTCGGCAGCCTGTGGGCTGTTGCCAGTTTCTCTGGATGAGGATCAATTAGCCACATTGCTGGCTGAGCTTCCTCGGAACAAGATTAATAATCATAACTAGCTGTGCCTTTCTCTGGTCTCAAAGGGGGTTAAACCGTGAGACCAACCCCCTTCATCTTTACTTATGACCTAAGCTCAGGATTTGAACTCTGCTCTCCAGAGACCCCCGAAGGCTTGTGCAGTAATCCACTTCAGCAGTCAGGACCTCTGGGGAGTGGAGATTATGTTAATTGCAGAATCCAGCCTCTGAGGCCAGAAAGCTCCTGTCAGCCGGATGTATCAGTGCCCAAGAAAGCTGGTGGGTGATGGCTGTGCCTGTGTGTCGACTGCTATAAGGAAATGATGTCTGGCAAGACTCCCTTTCTCTTTAAAGTGGAGGCAGGGATTCTGTGTTTAGCAAACAGCATGAGACAAGTAGTAGTTTGGATTTGTTAAACTTTGGGACTCATATCCTGCTGACTTTGAGATGGTCTGGAGGAAACCATAGGACGTAGACCTATTCATCCTCCCAACTTTTCTCACACTCTGGCCGTTTGCTGCCCACACTCTCTCCCACACCCTCTCTCCAAAGAGATGCCTTGATGGGCTAACAATAACTATATGGAGGGCTCTATGGAGCCTCAGGGTGGTGCAAATACTTAACACGCTCAGCTGCTAACCAAAAGGTTGGAAGTTCGAGTCGGCCTAGAGGTACCTTGGAAGAAAGACGTGAACATGTCCTTCTAAACAATCAGCCACTGAAAACGCTTTGGAGCACAGTTCTACTCTGACACCCATGAAGGCACCAGGAGTCACAGGCGACTCGACCACAACTGGCATGTAGGGGCTGGTCTACGTGCCAGGGTCTGCCTTGGTATATCCCCACCAGGAAATATCACTTCCGATGGTCGGTCACCATTCTCTTCCCTCCCCTCCCTGCCAGCCTGCCTGCAAGCTCATAACCACACCGTAAACATTACAGATGAGACTTAATTAACGGACCAAATTCATGAGGCACAAAAATCACAGAATGCATTTCAAGGGGAAACATCTTACCTATTCTGTTCAGGTTTCTGCAGGAATTTATAATACTCAAAGTCAGGAGGAGAAAATCCAGTGAGGACAAGCTCTTTTCTCTTAAGAATTAGAGGCTGTGTGTCTGTTGGAAGCTGCTGCTTGGAGAGACATTTTGATGTCAATTCCAGGACAAATGGTCCCTCAGTCCCTAAGCATGATTACTCCCCAAAAGGAGCATCTCTGTCTCCCTGACTCTCATGCCTCCTGGAGATTACCAATGGCTAGTGCCTCCAGGCAGCAGACCCCTGGTGTTGACTGAGCCAGCGGTCCCCTCTGGAGAATGGCCCGTGAGCTGTCCACTGGGAGTATAGACGTGGTCATGCTTATCCATTCCTTCATTGATTCAGAAAATAGGTATTAGATGCCTACTGTATGTCAAGGACTGTTCTAAGCTCTGAAACTATAAAACCCAACAAGCAAACCAGTTGCTGTCAAGTTGACTCTGACTCACGTGTGTCTGAGTGGAACTGTGCTCTGTAGGTTTTCAGTGGCTGTGATCTTTGGGAAACAGATGACCAGGCCTTTCTTCCCAGAAGCCTCTGCATGCAATTGAATAATCAGTCTTTTGGTTACTAGCCAAGCGCTTAACCATTTGTGCCACCCAGGGAGTCCTCTGGGATTACAACCAAACCAAAAAATCAAACCCATTGGTGTTGGGTTGATTGTGACTCATAGAGACTCTTCAAGACGGAGCTGAATTGCAAATATTTGCAGAAGTTGTAAATCTGTACAGCTTTCCCAAGGCTTTCAATTTTTACAGAAGCACATTGCTACATCTTTCTCCCATGGTGCGGTTTTTCGGTCACAAGGCAAGCACCTAATCACTGTGCCACCAGGGCTCCTTGTGACTGTGATAAAAGACAAAAGATACCTGTCCTCATGGAGTCTGCATTTTAAAGGGAGAAGAAAGATGATAAACAAATAAGTAAATATGAATATGTCACATGATGATAAGTGTGGTGGAGAAAACTCAGGCAGGCTGGGAAGGGCTTTAATATGAAGAAGAAGGGCCAAGGGGGACTTGTGGAGAAGGGGACACTGGGAAAAGACCTGGAGGGGGTGAAGGAATGAGATGGTCAGAGGAAGAGCTGTGCAGATGGAAGGAATGGGATGCAAGAGGCCCTAAGAAAGGACGTCTCAAGAAAGAGTAAGGAGATGGGTGTGGGTGGAGCCCTCAGAGCCACAGGAGATGGGATCAGAGGGAGGACGGGGCCGTGCGGGTGCTGTGGGGCTTTGGGGGCCTCATGGGAATGTTGACTTTTACTCCGAGCAGAGGAGGGACATGATCTTAGGTATGTTTCAGAAGCATCACTCTGGCTGGTATTTTGAATACAGACTGGGCAACATAAGGGACACGGGTGGGAGAAAAGACACCAGTCGAGGAGCTGATTTTATATCCTATGTAGGTGATCAATTCTGCTATCTCCTTTCTTTTCAGTGTCTAATTTTCAGAAAACCTTGTTGCTAGGTGCGATCAAGTTGGTTCTGACTCACTGAAACTCCAGGTACAACAGAACGAAACGCTGCTGGGTCCGGGACCACCTTCACAGTCCATGCTATGCTTGAGTCCATCATCACAGCTGCTGTGTCCGTCCATCTCATTGAGGGTCTTCCCCTTTTTCACGGACCCTCTACTTTACCAAGCATGGTGTCCTTCTCCAGGGATTGGTCCCTCCTAATAGCATGCCCAAAGTCTCACCATCCTTGCTCCCAAGGAGCATTCTGGCTGTACTTCTTCCAAGACAGATTTGTTTGTTCTTCTAGAAAACCTTAGCCCTCACTTTAGCTTGCTTTGCTCCTTGCAGAAATGGGAAAACACTGAACTTAAAGCAATATTCACCTATGCACCCCCTACCCCACCCCTTCCTGCTCTTGGCGTGTAGCTTGTTTTTTCCAAGAGTATTAATGGTGGCATTTGATAGAGAACAAATGTAATTTGATTTATATTACTTCCTATTCTTTAAGGAGCATATTTAAAATATATTTATATATGAATAATAAACCAAAACTTTTTCTTTTTTTTTATTTACTCTCAATTTCAAACCCAGTCCCAATCATCCTCACCTGAAAAATGCCCAGATCTTAGCTTCCACCACCCACTAATCCTTAGCCTTTCAAACAGAAGTCACTCTTGGCCTTACTTTCTTGTGAAGTACCTTCCAGTGTTTCTAGGGTTGTCATCTTTTCTATTTTTTGCTTCCTTGTAATGGCTCTGTGTGTTTTCCTCTATCACTGACTTATAGGTGACACTTAGTATCTGCAGAGCAAGAAGCAATGGAGGGAAAATGAATAGGCTCAGTGGAAGTGCTTCAGGCAGAAAAAGAAGAAAGTAGATTTTGAACAGAAGAAAAGAGTTCCTTTCATCTCTCTAATTGTGGGGAATATCCACTGGGAAGAGACAGGAGGGTCTCCCCTCTGCATTTTGTCCAGTAGGATTGCCCTCATCAGTGGAGGAACAAATGTTTCTAACAATAGGCTACAACTCTGTGATCTGTCTTCTCCAACATGCAACCCCCATCTCCAATCTCCAAAAATAAAACAACCCTAAAATCAGTCAAATGTTTTACAATTCTGTAGCTGATATCCGAGGCCAAAAATCTTCAGGTTACTTCAAAAGGTTCTATTAAACTGAACTCATCCTCAGAACAATTACAAAAGTTCTGAACTTTCATAGTGAGGAAGTTACTTCTCCTTCAGGGTCCGTACCACACATTCTTTTGGGCAGAGGAAATTCATAGAGGGTTTGGGAGACCAGTTTGGGGCTGTGTAATGAGTGGGAGTGGGGTCGGTGAGTGTGTGGTCCAGCAGTTGCTGTCACTAGCTTGTTGTTTCTTGCTGCTGACCACTGGGTCAAGCCCAGCTGCATCCATTCACCGAGGGGCTGAGTCTGGGCTGACAGGGGTGTGGGTGCACTCCATTTCTTCTCAGATTCCCTGCAGCTCAGAATTGTCTTCACAAATTCCACAGTAGCTCACATGGACCATGTGAAAGTGATTTGGTACCAGTAGGATCCAAACCCACTTGCCATCAAGTCCATTCTGACTCATAGCAACTCTATAGAATCCAAGGCTGTAAATCTTTATGGAAGTAGATGTCCTCATCTTTCTTCTGAGCAGCTGGTGGGTTCAAACTGCCAACTTTTGGTTAGCAGCCCCTTAGCCATAACACTACTGGAGCTCCTTACCAGGATAGACCTGTGCTACTTTTTGGTGAACAGTTCTAGAAAATGAAACTGGAAGAGCTACCAATTTATTTTACTTCCAGAGTTCAGAGACTCTCCATTTAAAAATTGGGTGCTTTCAAGTATTCTCTCAGAAGCCCATGCTATGTCATGGCTAGGCATACAGTGGCAGACAACACATCCATACATGCAACTGGATTTCTTTAGATCCCAAATCACTGACTCAATCTATTGATCTACCTACCTGCCTGCCCAGTCATCTATCTATCTATCTAGTGAGTGCTGGTGGTTCAGTGGTAGATGAGTGGAGGCTTGTGGGTTGCTCTGATGATGAACAGGGTTCAGTGGAGCTTCCAGGCTGAAATGTCTTAGGGAGAAAGGCCTGGAGACCTGCTTTCAAAAATCAGCCAATGAAACCCTAGAGATCATAACAATCTGATCTGAAACTGATCATAAGGGTGGTGCAGGACCAGGCAGTGCTGCTTTTGTTGTGCATGGGGTTGCCACA